AACTGTCTATATTGTGGGCTCTGAAGAAGACCATGGAAGAAGGGAGGGATGTCAGACTCAGGGAGGTGAGGGCAAAGCCTGTTGTTTGCAGACATGTTGTTCTCATGTTGTTAATTTTCCTTGTGGTGACCTTATGTCTGAACTTACTCAAGTTTCCCTTAATTATTCCAGTCCAAGGGTGTCCTGGGAAATTCAGTGAAGGGTTCAGAAGAGCAGAGCACAGTGGGGTTGATGGGGAGAGCCTCCATAAAGCAGGGACTTGGAGCAAAAGACATGAGATGCAAGACTCCAGCCCTCAGAAACAGGCCCTGTGCATGCCAGGTGTGGAGGATCCAGTCCCCTTTTTATGAAGATCTCCTTAACTACAACCTCATCTCATCAGCCTGTAGGAAGCACAAAGAGCTGGAGGGGTTGTCATTGGATAGCAAGGTCTCCTCTCGGGATAAAGCCAAATGGCTAGGCAAGACCTCTTACAGAAAGAAAAACCCTTAGTTTTGTACCCAGAGCAGCCCCAAAGTCATATAAATATTTTCTGCTGTCTCCCGAGAGAACTGTTAATGAGTAATAGCTCATAACATGAAGCAAAACTTCATAACATCCATTTCTTCCCAACTTTTGTCCTAATCATGCCCTTCTCCCACATATTTGTATTCCTCCCCTCTACCATGCTGGCCATCCCAAGGCCTAAGCTAAGGCTCAGTCCACCTTTCTCTACTCCGTGATCTCCATTGCCTGCTTCCCTCATCTCTCCCAAATCTGCCCCCAGCCCAGAATACCTTCTCTGGATCCTTCCCACTTGTAAATCACCTGGAAGGCCACCTAGTTGCCTTCTCAGCCTTCCTTCTTATTTTATTTTTATGTGTATATATTTGCAGTTGTGTACAAGTATGTGCATGTTCACCTGTGTGTGGCTGCACATAAACATGTAGGCACACATGTGTGGAGGCCAGAAGTCAATCTTGGGTGGTGTACCCAGAGAAGTCCACATTATTCTTTGAGACAAAGTTCTCTAGTTAGCATGGAGCTCGCTGATTGGGCTAGGCTGAATGACTAGCAAGCCCCAGGTATGCCTGCCTCTACCTCCCCAGCACTGGGATCACAAGCGCACATCACTCATGCCTGGCTCTTGAAGTAGGTTCTAGGTATTGAATTTAGGTCCTCATGTTTTCACACCAAACACTTTACTCACTGAGCTATCTCTCCAGCCTCCTCAGTCCTCATTATTACTATTAACATTATAAGGGGCTAAGAAGCTGACTCCTTCCAAGCAGGAAAAAAAAAGTATGATTACTCCTAATTGCAAATTAATTCTCTCCAAGGTAAAGGATTCTGAGATGAACAAGCACAAGAAGCTCTTCAGCAAGTTGAGGATTGACAGAGGCAAAGATACAACAGTACGGAGCCTTTGGAAGGCTTCCATCACAGGCAGGCACCAGAGACACAGCTGCTGCCCTTGGTGCTGACCAAACAATCTAGGCTTTTGGCACTCAGCTCTGGGTCCACATCCTCCTTAGGGCTCTCAACCTTGACTTCACATTGAGCTACATTGGGAACTTTCAGAAAACACATATTTCCCATGCTGTCCATCAGAGACTGCCTCAAATAGTCTGGTTCAATGGTCAAGACATCTAGAAGCTTTGGCTAGCACTGAGATCCACTAGATTGCAAGATCCAATTGGTTGCTGAGGAGAGGCCCTACAGCTTGGGGGCTGCAGATCAGAGCTTCAGGCACAGGAGCTCCCAGGATTCGTATTAACCCTCTAAAAAGAAAAATAGTTGAGGTAAAGACTAGTAGAGAACACCCCAGAAAGCAACGGGAGCCTTGCTCACTCGCCCTTTAATAGCTGCCCTTGAGTGTACATTGGTGGAGGCAATGGCAGCTGCAGGATGAGGTTCTAACTTAAGACTGGGAAGTCATACTTTCCTGAGATGACATTTAAACCAAGTCCTGAGTGCAATAAGAAACTGTCATATGAAGTTGTCATGACAGTAGGTGCAAAGGCCATTAATGGGGACAAAGGAGACATATGAGTGGGGCACAAAAGACAGCAAAGGGATGAAGTCTGAAAGGTGGCAGGGATGTATTGTGGAGGGTTTTGGAGCAGTGATAATCAAGTGGATTTCCTTCTCATTGCAATGGGAAGCCCCTGGAAGGTTTTCAGGGTGCAAGAACATGATCTACTTTTCTTTTTAAAAGACACTGTGCTGTGGTGGGAGGGTGGCTGGTGGGTAGTGGATGGGGTATGGGTAAGTGATTCATTCCATCAGGGTCAAGGAACACGCCCAGGTGAAGGATGGGGCCCAGTTCTTCCCCACAGTGGAGAATATAGGTCAGACAGCCCATTTCACTCAGCCAGGGCTGCTGAAGCAGCCCCCCTGCCTGTCAGGGGAAAAGCTGAGTCTGTGCTGTGTGGGCTCAGCTGAGATCTGCATTGGCAGAGGAAGCAGAGAGAAGAGTCATCCAGGTGCAAGGATCTGGGCCACCACCCAGGATCCCCTCTCCCTCTTCCCAGAATGCCTCTCCCTCTTCCTCTACCCCCTCACTATCTCCCCCAGACAAACCCAGACATACGGCACCAGGGAAGCAGGCAGCTATATTTTAAGATCAGGGCTCAGACCTCTAAATAAATCATAAACAAAACCAGTTTCCCTGCTACAGAAGGAGGGGAGACGGCTCCATTTCTCTTCAATGCAGTGACTGGGAAATAAACAAGTGACTCTGCCTGTCACATACACTTAACCCTCTGCAAAGGCATCTGTCAGATCCAGGAGCTTCTGCTTCAGCCTTTCCAAGAAATAACTCTGTGCCCCAAACTCAGGCTTCTCCCTGTGAGCTCCAAGTTCACTTTGATGCTAAGGGAAAGGTGAGTGTGGGGATTTGTCTCTGACCCTAGCCTCACAGGAAAAACTAGCCTCAGACAAGGGGCCTCAGTATAACCTGGGGTATGGAAGAGGATAAGGGAGAGGGTAAAAGGGGGGAAAATCAAGCAAAACAATGCAGGTGGGTGGCAGGAGTGGGGATAGGAGGATTGAGCTGATAATGGCATGGAGTGGTCCTTAGTAGAGAGATGGAAGGTCTGAAAACCACAGAAGTCTGTGGATGGGGTGACCATGGGTCAGGGAAAGACAAAGAGACAAAAGCTGAGAGTCTCTTTCTCTATGGACAAAGTCTTCCATGATCACAAAGGAAAGAGTGGTGAGTAAAAACAACACAATCAGGAACAGAGTGTTAAATAAATCAGAGAAAGGAAGAAAACTCGAGTCATCAGACTCAAGTGTGTTCCATTTCTCGCAGAATGGACCCTCAGGAGATTTATGCATCGAGCTCAACCACAGAGGCAGGAGCAGAGGCTGAAGGAATGGGGGTGCTTGGGAATGGAGGCATGCAGCAGAAGCCATACAGACATGTGGTAGAGAAGCTGAAGGGGGCTTGTAAGCTTTGGACTGGACAGAAGGTAATTGAGAGGATGGAGGTGCAGGCTAGAGAGAGGGTTGTCCCCAAGTGCTGCTGCTAAGGGCACCTGAAGCAGGGAGAACTTGCAGCCACCCTCCCCCAAGGTGTGTGTGGGGGACTGAAAGGGTCCGAGAGGCATCAAGACAGAGATTACACATGTAGTGAACCCCACCCCAGGGCTGGCACTCTCTCAGCAGCATTACATGGGGATGGAGACCTAGGAATCTCCAGACTGCAGTCCAGTCAGATGTGGGGGAGCCCCAGACTTCAAGTGATAGATCCAGTGACCTAGACAGAGGATAGGGTGAACATATGCCTCACAGACTTCTAGAAATAGAGACCTGAGGGAAGGAAAGGGGCCAGCAAGGGGGGGTGGCTGGAAAGCAGGGGGTGAAGATGAATATGAGCAAAGTACATGGTAAGTGTATGGAAATGTCATAAAGAAACTCATTTTGTATGTTAACTAAAAAATAATAAAAAGAAAGTAATAGAAAAAAGAAATAGGGAGACAGATTCCCCCAACACACACACACACACACACACACACACACACACACACACGCACACACACTCCACTCAAAGACGAGTGTGTCTGGCTCAAGGATGAGCCACGCTTGAATCCAGTGAGCCCACACAGAGCTACATCAAGGATTCTTTCTATGGGAGCCCAAAGCATGTTAGTCTTTTACTTTATGTATGTGGTGCTGGAAATCAAAACCCAAAGCCTCACACATGCTAGGCAAGCACTCTAACCCTGAGCTATATCCCAGCCCATCAAGCACTCTGAATCCAAGCTACAACTCCAACCCATCAAGCGCTTTAACCCTGAGCTACAACCCCAGCCCATCAAGCACTCTAAAGCTACCCCAGCAGTTTCTGGTCAGATGACATTGCTAGAGCCACTAAAAAAATGTTCTTCTCATTGTGTCTGTGGTGGTTGCCCTGTGAATCTGAAGCTACCCTGCAAGGGCTGTCATAGGACTTCTGACCAAGACATGTAGACAATAGCTCCCTGCTAAGGGAACACAACCCACAATCTTTGCAATGAGAACCATGCAAAACACTCAGAGACCAAAGGGAGGGAACTACCAGGAATGGGGTCCTTTTCTCAGCTCAGATCAGCAGGAGGGCCTTAAGAACAAGAGCCAGAGGTGAGCCACACATCCCATGAATGAAGACACAGACACTGAAGATATCAAACTATGTATGGCACACTGTGCACACAGTGTACAGCCCCCCCATTATATACACACATCACACTGATGCATATCCAGTTCCTCATGTATAGTGCACTGTATAGGTCTCCTCATCCATGAGAAGACCCATTTTTTTTTTGATGCTATATACAGGCACTGGAAAGTTCTGCTGTCCTCAGACCTGGACCCCCACAGCTCCATGCACTCCCCTTGCAGTCCACACACCACACTGGCCTGTGCGTATATGTTATCCGCTCATAGAATTCCCAAATAGAACTCCATGACTCTTTTCCATGCCAATAGGATCCACGCACTCCCCACCTCTTGCCCCACCCCTACCTCTGCTGCAGCTCAACCTCAGTCTTTCCTGACAGCTCCTCACCCCTCCATCTCTTATTTTCCAATAATACCGTCTCCAAGCGTGGGGAAACTTTTCTTCGTGTTTCTAAAAAAGGAAGCCCAGAGATCCCTCTGCATCGCCGCTCCCCGCCCCACCCCCAAAGCCGTCTCTCATCATTTAAGACTGTCTCTGGACAGACCCAGCGGGTAAAGGTCACAGGAGGCAACCCTCTGCTTGAGTCCTGGGGGTGCTGGCAATAACAGCTGTCCCCGGAGGATGTGGAAGGAGGGAGGGAAAGATGTTGGGGTGCAAGGGGATCTTAAGGACATGCTGGAGCATCTTCCCAGTCTGGGGTGGTGGAGGCTGCGCCCCGGTTGAAGTGTGCGGAGCTGTCCGTTCAGCACCACCGCGCAGTGCCAGGGCTCAGGGCCGATCCAGGGCGCATAGGCTCCGCTCCCGCCCCCGCTCCGCGGGCGCCTGCAGCGTGGGCTCTCGCCTCTCTGGGCGGGTGAGGGGCGTGCGGATCGGGCGAGGGGGGCTCCACGAGCATCCGGGCCACGCAGCCACCTGTGAGCCTCTAGCAGCTGCGGGCGGCGGCGGCTTGCGGAGCCCAGACTGGAGGAGATTCGCGGCGGACCCCGCCCGCCAGCCAGGCGCACACACAGGCGCACACATCCTCGCACCCGCGCGCACCCGCGCAGCCAGCCAGCAGCGGCCACCACGGCGATGCTCGCCAGCAGGTCCGGGAAGTTTCCCGCCGGCCTCGGCCGCGGGCGCCGATGCTCCCAGGTAAGCGCTTCCAGAACGCGCAGGGCAAGCCGGGGAAGGCGCAGCGCACGCCGCCCGGGGGCACCACGCCAGGAGGGCGGGGGAACCCGAGGAGGGGGACACCTGGGGCTCCAGTCTTTGGGGCCTTGGAGACCGGGGACGATGAGTCGACCCTCTTCTCCCCCAGCCCAGGTTTACATTCTGGAGCGATGAATTTCCCCGCCCCCTCCCAAATCTCCGCGCCCCCTTCTCCGCCCAGCCCTGGCAGTGCGCGTCTCAGAGAGCTCGGGTCCCGCCTGTCTGCGGCGCGCGGGCGGGGGCGTCTCCTTGGTCTGCCCAACAGCAAGGTCAGCAGGCAGTCCTCTGGGCATAGAAAAAGCGACCGCCGGGACCCCCAGGGAGGAGGTGGAGGCCCGACCATACTAGTAGAAACATACACCCCTACCTTGCCCGGAAAGGGACAAACCCCGGTAGACCATTCCTGCACCCCAATACCCAACTGCACCCAGAGACCCTGCTGGAGAGGGCTGAGCCCGCTGGAGAAGGGTCTGAAGAAAGAAAATAAGGGGATGGGGTGGGGAGCGCCCGCGCTCACACAGATGGGGTTCCCTTGGTTTTCAGGTGTAGCGCCCCCGCGCGGCGCCGGTGGCTGGGCATCTTCAGCATGACTGGCCAGAGCCTATGGGACGTGTCCGAGGCCAACGTCGAGGATGGAGAGATCCGGATCAACGTGGGCGGTTTCAAGAGACGGCTGCGTTCCCACACCCTGCTGCGCTTCCCAGAGACGCGCCTGGGCCGCCTGCTCCTGTGCCACTCACGCGAGGCCATTCTGGAACTCTGTGATGACTATGACGACGTCCAGCGTGAGTTCTACTTCGACCGTAATCCGGAGCTCTTCCCCTACGTGCTTCATTTCTACCACACTGGCAAGCTTCATGTCATGGCTGAGCTGTGCGTCTTCTCCTTCAGCCAGGAGATCGAGTACTGGGGCATCAACGAGTTCTTCATTGACTCCTGCTGTAGCTACAGCTATCACGGCCGCAAAGTGGAGCCTGAGCAAGAGAAGTGGGACGAACAGAGCGACCAGGAGAGCACCACATCCTCCTTCGATGAGATTCTGGCGTTCTATAATGATGCCTCCAAGTTCGACGGGCAACCCCTGGGCAACTTCCGCAGGCAGCTGTGGCTGGCATTGGACAACCCAGGCTACTCAGTCCTGAGCAGGGTCTTCAGTGTCCTGTCAATCTTGGTGGTGTTGGGATCCATCATCACTATGTGCCTCAATAGCCTGCCAGACTTCCAAATCCCTGACAGCCAGGGCAACCCTGGCGAAGACCCCAGGTTTGAAATCGTGGAGCACTTTGGCATTGCCTGGTTCACATTTGAATTGGTGGCCAGGTTTGCTGTGGCTCCTGAATTTCTCAAGTTCTTCAAGAATGCCCTAAACCTTATTGACCTCATGTCCATTGTCCCCTTTTACATCACCCTAGTGGTGAACTTGGTGGTGGAGAGTTCTCCTACGTTGGCCAACTTGGGCAGAGTGGCTCAGGTCCTGAGGCTGATGCGGATCTTTCGCATCCTAAAGCTGGCCAGACACTCCACTGGCCTCCGCTCTTTGGGAGCCACCCTGAAATACAGCTACAAGGAAGTAGGGCTGCTGTTGCTCTACCTTTCTGTGGGGATTTCCATCTTCTCTGTGGTGGCCTATACCATTGAAAAGGAGGAGAATGAGGGCCTGGCCACCATCCCTGCCTGCTGGTGGTGGGCCACTGTCAGTATGACCACTGTTGGTTATGGGGATGTGGTCCCAGGGACCACAGCAGGGAAGCTGACTGCCTCTGCCTGCATCTTGGCGGGTATCCTGGTGGTGGTACTGCCCATCACCTTGATCTTCAATAAGTTCTCCCACTTCTATCGTCGCCAAAAGCAACTTGAGAGTGCTATGCGTAGCTGCGACTTTGGAGATGGAATGAAGGAGGTCCCTTCTGTCAATTTAAGGGACTACTATGCTCATAAAGTTAAGTCCCTCATGGCGAGCCTGACGAACATGAGCGGGAGCTCACCAAGTGAACTAAGCTTAGATGATTCTCTACACTAGTTGGGAAGGTTTGTTATCCTCAAACCTACATTGCTGAGCTGCCTCTTGTGTCTCTGGCACAGTATGGGCACCTTAGGGTTTTGGCATAAGGAGTCTGTCCAAACCCAGAAGGAGAGCTGCATGGGATATGCACCCCAGGTTGCTTTAGCAGTATTTAGAGTCATTTTTTAGAGGATGGTGTGTCTGACACCATGCCTTTGCACCTTTCAGTGAAATGATACTCACTGGTCTTTGCATCGTGGGCATAAAACGTTCATCTTTCTGCCAGATTGAGTACCCAGAATGCTAATTTCTCTGTACACTGTGTACAATAGTCTAGTGCTTGTACCCTGGTATTATCTGTGAGTTGAGTTATTTGTGATCCTGTTTCTGAGGTTGTTGTGTGAGTTCTATATAAAAAGCCCTGACCACTCTGTCTAGTGGAAATACATATGTCTATGAGGTCAGCAAGGATATCATGAGATTTTGATCATAATCATGTGAAAACAAAATCTCAATTCTTTATCCATTGCTTTCATTTAATTTTAATACCAAAACGAAGAGAATGCAAAGTTAAGCACACTTGACCGATGCAAGTCTGTGAGCTGTTTTTCTACCCAATCCTGTCTTTGTGGCTTGCATGGGTACACCAGTCATTTTTTAAGAAAGGTGTACATTGATGTTTGTCTTGTATGAGAATGTTACTCACTTAAAAAAGTAGTGAAGACTAAAGGTTGTTTCTTTTTTCTTTTTCTTTTTCTTTTCTTTTCTTTTCTTTTTCTTTTTTTTTCCTGAAACAGATATATTAGGGGCAGGGACTTCAGCTAAATGTGGACCAAAGCCCAGGATGCCAAAAGTAGAATCCATGTGGGCTAAGTCCTTTCACTTGTGGTCAGGCCTCTATCTTTCCTAGGGGAATAATAGAGACATTTATTTCTGGCCGACGGTCCCAGTCCAGGTCATTTAACCAAAGTTTGCTGTGTCTTGGTATTAGCATGTTTTTGAAGTACTTATTTTTTAAAGATGTTTAGGAATAAGGTGTTGTCTTTCTTAACTACAAGAAGCTAGTGTCGTTCTGTCTTTCTGAGGTGAACATTGCTAGATTGCTAGCAAGGGCAGTAGCTTAAATACTTTTTTTGCCTGCTCTGAAAGCTCATAAACTGAGAGCCCTTTTATTTCCAAGCAAAATTTGCTTCAAAGAATTTTTCTTCTAGGATACAGTATAGGATATTCAGTGTTTGGATTGCCCAGAGTTCCTGCTGTAACATGGAAACCTGGTAGTACAGAAGCATCCTCAAAACATAGATGTGCATGAAGGGACTGTGACTCACCACTCACAGTGGTTATTTCCACTGTGGTTACACTTGGTTGGGGAATGGTGGGTAGAGGCCAGAAGACAGGAAAGAGTTATAAAACCAAAAATTGCTACTTCATAAAACATTACAAATCACTGTAAATTTCTTAAAAAGCTTTCAGCTAGTCAAAAAGACCTTCCAATTATTAAGCCGTGTTAAAGGGATATCACTGTTTCCTTCTCCAACATGCAGCTGTTCCTCTTCTATAGTTAATCAGCACATAGCCTTATGAAGGGAACCTGGGCCCCCTTGTAAAATAGTCCTTTCTCATCATCCTCTACCTAATCTGATGGTTTTCCCGTGGCTTCTGTTCTTGTTCGGTCTTTGACAACGCTATAGCATCTAGGGATCGAGTTATGGAGATAAACAGGCATTTTATCCAAGGTTTGAGCCTCTTAATTTTATATTTTAGTTGGTTAAGGATAATCCATACCTCCTGGGGTATGGAGTAGATCTTCTCAGAGGACTTTGTGTGCTTGTAGTTGCCATGGCTACTATAGTGTGGGTGATTCATTGGATGGATGCACTGGCCACTTTATGCCCTTGAGCCCTCAGTTCAAATCCTTTATAAGACTGGAGTCTCATGAGATGAGGAGCAGAGGGTGGGGACCTCCTAGTGCCTATGTGCAGACTTGTCTGCATCTGTTACTCAGAAGCGTCAGGAACATGAGATGACTTAAAGGCACCCACCAGTGAGTCAGAAGAGCAGGATTACTTTTTGGAATTTGCACATGGAATTTCTGTCTTTGGCTAATGTTTTCAGCCCTAGGAAGCAGAAAATTTATAAAATCGTCTCCAGCTGCACTGAAGGCAGGTGATGGCATAACTTGTGAGGACTGTTCAGTTTGCCGAGGCTGATGGTATCAGGTCACTGAGCATGGTATCCATGGTCACTGACCGTGAAGCTTATGCAAAATAGAAAAAGACAGGAAGCAGAACAACTCAGCCACTAATAAGGATTTTTCTAAATAAGAGGGTTTACCACCAAAAAAGAGGTACCTCTAGTGGATGCTTTTGTGGATGTGAAAGCTGGAAAACTTGACCTTTTGTTTTGGTAATGACTTGCATTTATCTGGTGCCTTTCATTAGGGGAATCCCAAAGTGCTTTAGAGACTGTCTTTTTATCATCTCTTGTACATATATGTATACTTGTAAAAAGATTCCTTTGCCCACCAAGACCTTCAGTCACTTCTCAGCATGAGAATGTCCCAGTAGCAGAGTTCTCCAAGGGATGGTTTCAGAGATCTGGGAGAGAGAACAGCCCAGCTGCCTTGAACACTGCGTGAATCCCACAAAAGGTGAAGAGTGATGTGTGACCCCAGGAACCTCTCCCTTGCCCCCTACACCAAGGTGTGAAGTTCACAAGTGGTGTCTCAGAGGCAAGGTTTTTGATTGGCTATGTCAGATAATGCCTCCCACAGCAATTTCTCCTGGTCGCTGAAGCTAACCAGGGAAGAACAGGCTAATTTTCTGTCCCATTCTTGAGAGGACAGGCTACAAGAGTGAGGTGACTCCTTTGGCCAGCAAGCTGTCCGAGTGACCTGTAAACCCTTCTCACAGGAGACAGTAGACATAGGATCATTCATTTCCAGCTGTTGGCTGAAAGGCATCTTCACTCCTGACATTTGTTCTCTTCAACATCACTGGGACAATACATGAGCCAAATACATGGAAGTGACACATATTTATTGCATGGATGCCCTGGTCATAGGCTTATGTTTTCCAACAAACCTCCACATTCCCCAGGTTTGCTGCTGAAGAGAGTCATGTTGGAATGCTGAGCAGATATGTAGCTCATCAGGTAGTAATTAGAGCTTAATATTTGGATTTGTTATTTCTACTTATCTTAGCACTTAAATCACTGAACTACCTGCTAATTCTTGCCTCGTTTCAATGAAAATGACTTGTTCTGCACTTTGGGATAGCAGTGATCTGTATAGGCTGTTTGGGCTCTACTTGAAGACTTAACTGGTATTTCTTGTATGTTTTAACAGCATGACTTGTTCCAGAGTTGTAATTTTAAACATCGAGAACACTGTATTTGCAATGTCAGTTTTAATACTCATTAACACACTACTGTGTGAGTGTTGATACGGCTCTGCTGCACCATTATGCCCAATTGCTGCACTTGAATCCTTTGTGCCTCGATTTGGGAATGACGTGTGTGACTGCCACACTCAGGACTCCAGCCTTGCAAAGAGTGCAGATTAAACAGAAAATAATGATTTCTCTTCCTTAAGGGCCTTCAATTACATATGGAGTGGCAGATAAAAGGATTTGGGGCAGTGAGGGATTGGATGTGGGGGGCCCATGCTCGTGTGCGTGTGCATGTGCGTGTGCATGTTCTCAGAGGCTGACATTGGGGTGTTTTCCTCAGTCATTGTCTACCTTGTGTATTTAGGTGGGCTCTCTCACCTGAAACCAGAGCTCATCAATTCCATTAGCTAGCCATCTTGTTCCAGGAATCCTGTTTCTGCTTTCTGTAGCTATAATTCTTTCTGGGGCAGAGGAAGGCATAAACAACATCTTTCCTTGGTCCTAAATGACAAACTGAGGTACGGTTTCACCAAACACAGTCTGGGAAACTTATGAGTTTATTGGGCTTACAGAGGAATGGGTGAAGGTTTACTTACAGGAGTGTGGGAGCCCCCCACCCACGCACAGCCACACTGGAAAGTCACACTGGAAAGTCTTCATCCAAGCATGGATGGTGGCTGCATAGCATGGTGAGAGAGTCTTCCTTCTGCTTCCTCAGCCAATATATTCTTAGCCCTCCCCCAGACCCCATGCAACTAAAGCTTATTGATTGGTTGGGAGGTGTGACTGAACTCTCAGATGTGGGTCTTGTGACTCTCCCTGCCCCTCCTTCCTTGTGGTGCATGACAGTCAACAAGTTCAGCTGAGCGGATTCTAGGCAAGTGGATGAAACCAACCTTGGGAAGATGGCGTCTGTCCATTGTCTGTCTGTTGGAGGACAGTCCTATACAACACCTTCCATGTGCTGGGATTACAGGCAGGACACCATCCTATAATCCTACATTTATGTGTTTCTTGAGATCCTATTTGGGATCCTTGGGTAGCAAGCACTGCACCTGCTGAACCATTTCCCTAACCCCAAGGCTGAATTTTTGAACAGTGGGTGAGAAGGAACAGTTTCTTCTTAGCAAGCAGTTAGGGGCAGGACTTTGGTCAGGATCTGGAGCTGCTGGGGTGATTGGTAGAAGGGTGGTTACATATTCTTGGGACCCCTGTGGACCAAAGGCTCCTGAAGCGTTTTCTTCCTGCTCCGTGTCTGCTTAGCACCTTCTTCAGCCTGCCCTGCCACCCTGTCCCAGGGTACCAATCTTCCTCAAGCTTGGGTGACTACTGATTGCAAACCAGGTATTGAGCAACCAGAACATGCTGGCTGGTTGGGTATGAATATCGCTGGAAGATTCAGGAAACTGGCTCTTAGCTCTGTCTACATAGAACTTAAGAGTCTGAGTCCCTGGGATAATCTGTCAGAAGGGTGCTACTTGGCCTTACCTTCAACTCCTGGCCTCTCTGAACCTCCTTTTCCACTGCTACGAAGGAGTGAGGAGGTTGGATAAGATAAGCCTTGAAGCCCTACCCACCTCTGTGTGGAAACAGAATTTCTGCATGCTTCTCAATGTCCTCATCATAACACAAGCAACTCGATGTCTCTAATTTATTTTTGATCAGAGGGATGGCTTACCCAGCCTATTTGGTTTCACTTCTTTTTCAGAAGGTAGGCACAACAGATAACAATCTCAGGGACAAGGATCCAGAAGAAATACTTGGGCTAATGTCTGCCTCAAGTGCTCAGAGTTCTTAAATCAGCAGTGATTGTCCCCTGTGGGCTTTAAGTTATACATACTTATGTGTTATTCAAATTCCTGCTATTAAAAAGCATTAGGCAGAGAGGAAATCACATAGATCCCATTTGCCTTTGGTATTAACAGTTCACTTTCACTCTTTTCCTTTGAGAAGCTGGGCAGGTCCCCACCCATTTTATGCAGTTATTGGGAACCCTT